GCTCGTAATATTTCCTATTGATAGCTTAATGATCTTCTATCTGCACGGACGATACGAAGCTGATGATCTTTGCTCGATACCTTTTAACCAATACGACAGGGAAAAGAAATTGAAAACTGAACAGAGCCATGTAACCAGCTTTCGCTCTAATGTAATCGTGACACGACGTTTCGATTTTTTTGTTTATTTATTACTTAGTCTGTTTGCGAGACTTTCACTTTGGATTTAGGGGAAGTTTAAGGGGGGCTACAACCCCGGGCCCTGTTATAAGCTTTCCATGTACTATGTCAAGAAATTATCTTTAGTATTCCCCTTTTCCTTTATGACTGAATGTTATTTAATTTTATTTAATAAATTTAATAAATTTCAATTTTTGAACTAACGGGAGGTTCAATAACCCCGAGGCCCCAGAAATATGAATCCGCTCTTGAACAGAACAATACCACAATCTACCACAAAATAACCGAAAAATCAAACCACTATTCTCCCCCTGGAATGACCGAAAAGAGAGAGGGTGTAACCCCCGTCGAAATTTCGGTTCACCATGAATTTTTCGATCGGCCAATTCCCAGCTGCGTCCAATATGAGATTCGTCCCCGGCATACGAGATCTCCTCTGTTCTTTTTTTTTTTTTCTTCTTCTTCTCTTCATCCGTTCCTTCAACGAACGCGCAACCCCCTGGCCCCGATTTTTTGCCGGGCTCGTTTCGGTTGCTCGCGATTCTCGCCTTCTAGCCTAGCCTAAGTTAATATTAATGGGGATATTTATGGGCACGGGTCAACGGTGGTCACCGCTGCCAGAGTACCACTGATAAAAGGAAAATCTGAAAATGCCATGATTTATGGGACACCATCGCCTTTTACCCACCTCACCGATCCCTCTCCTCTTTCTTCGTCGTATCGAACTTCCCTTAAACGCTGAATAAGTTATGGGCGAGGGGGCTGCATTCTTATTTCGTTCTATGTACATATACATATATATCTCCTTTTGCTCGATTTTCGGAAAATTTGCCAACGAATCGTGCGGATAATCTTGTTATTCGTCTCGAACCGATCGACACGGAATACGTAGAAATTCCACGGACGGTTCGAACGACGGGGAAAAACAAGCACAATTTGTTTTACAACGTAACGTAAAGATGATTGTCGAATAATCGCTGGTCGCGAAGTATGTTTTCCTGTAAATTGAGCGACGCTTATGATCGAGGCTGGTAAAACGGTTTTATGGTGATTTTATTGATTCCAAAGCACGACTTATCGCCTGTTATTGGCCGTATCCCGAACCCATTCGGTACGAACGCAACGCCGCAGGCCAGAAGAATGAAATTCTCGACCGAGAGACGCTGCGAAACGACGTGGAATTTCGTTCGCGGAATTCCAGCGTGCTACCGGACCCTCCGGTACCATTTTCTACTCGGACCTGAAACGGACCATCGCAATGGCCGCTTAATTAGACGTTGACATTCGCGGATATCGCGACGGTTATTGTCAAATTTCAACGAATCTTTGACCGAATTAAAGATGGATCGTATTTGAAAATAAAAGCTGATGAAAATCCATCGAATCCAATTGAATCAATCGAACGATGAACATTAGAGAACGAGGAGGTGAATTAGACGAGGTGGAATAGAGAGCAAAGAGAGGGAAAAGAACGTTCGAAGAACGAATGAAAGGGAAGAATCGTACGGGAGTAGAAAGGAGAGAAAAGACGCGGAAAGAAGAGAGAAATGTCCGTGAACAGGGATGAAGAGGAGAAAGAGAGAAAGAGAGGAGCGCGTCCAACACGGACATTCGTCACACAACATCAAACGCGGCTGCCGCCCGTTGGAGACCCGACCAACCGACTCTAAAGACTCCGCTCGATCAGCCATGAAGAGAGGGCACACAGTGAGGAGGAATCGCAAAAAAATGGGGAAAAATGAGTGGAAGGAGGAAACGAGCTAGACCGACTTTGTAAGCAACTCTGTTCCTATCCTTGTTAGATTTCTATTCGATTAATTTCACCCTTTTATAAACTATCACGGTAAGTAAAGGGTTTCAAGTTATCATGGTAATTTATAATTATCGATAATATTCATTTTCAATATTTTAATGCTCTATTCCCTGAAGGAGCATAATATGATCGCAAGGGTACGAACGTATTAATGAACAGAAACGCAGAAATCGGCTTCGAAACCGTGAAAACTACAAAACACTACGAACGGATAAGAAATTATAAAAAAAACAAAGGAAACGAAGCAAAGAACCTACTAGGATAGTGTGAAATATCGAGCATGATTCGAAGTGAGAAAAAATAAAAGGTGGGAGAAAATCGCGATCTCGAGGTGAGGATAAATGGCAATATGTATTGACTTTGTAATCGCGACCTTGAATTATTGCACGAACGATGACGAGGCGGTATTTAATGTATCGAAAGACGTTTCCAGGCAAGTCATCCCAGTCATTGTGTGTTCCAGGATTCTGAACCGGTAGCTCTGTTCAACTTCGCTACCGTCGTTGATCGTTCAATATACGAGACGCTGGATAACATTCCAGTAGCCTGATCGATATCCTATGATGAACAACGATTAGAGTCGATTCGTTTCATAGAAACGAAACTTGGAAAAAATACAACTACAAAGTCTGAATTTCTATAAAAAATTTCCCTCGAATTCCTGAGAAAATTTTCTTCTAATAAATTCGTAACTTGATTCTCGGATGGCGGACCATGGAGAGAGCCCGAATTTTCAATCGACCCAAACTCCGCTGTTCAATTAATTAATTATCGCTAATAATTTTGCGATCTTCCGCTAAATTTATGGAAGAAAATTTCGCGAAAGAATTTTACTCAGTCGAGGAGCTTCTTGCATACGGATTGGTCCACGGTTATCCGCATAACTGCGAACAATTATCTCTCGGTTACGGATTTTTCAATCGCGTTACGGCCACGATAGCGTGCCGTCGACCGTTAAAAAGCAGCTAGACGCTCCTTAAAAGGATTTATCACTGTCGTTACATCGACCGTCAGGGCCGATAGGTTGTTCGAACTCGACACTGGCCGTTTGCTATAATTACAGTCATCCCTGCTAGAGAAAATTTACCAACCCTCCCTCGTTTTTTTTTGTTACCCTCGTTACACGAATTAGTCCTATAAAAATCATCAGCCTGGAATTCAGAATTTTTATTCGAATTCCTTCTTTCGTTAACTTTCACTGTTAGACTGCCTTTCAAAGATGACTTTACAGACTGTCGAAGCATGACTGAGAGGAGAATTCAAAACTCGTCCGCTCACATTGTCGCCCCTTCATTTTTCCTAAAACACTTTCTTCTTTCAAAGTCTAAATTTAAGCCGCGAAACAAATACGTATGACTTCTTTCGACTAGAAAGGTGTTGCGGATTTTAACGGTCCGCTGCCTCGGGAACACCACTTCTTTCTATATTTTATTCTGTTAGTCAGATTTTCGTAGGAAATTCCTCGTTTCACGCTGGAACATTGTGTCGGATTTCTTTTTATCGGGTTGCACAAGGGAACAGGGAGGTCTATCTCGTAGATAACGATTTTCCCTGCGACGATAGTGCATCGCACAAGTCGCTTTCGTGAAATCAGTGAACCGAAGGGTAGGAATGCGAAGGAATGCGGGAATTATTCGGCCGGTCTCGCTTCCCAAACGGACGGGTAGAATTTTTCTTTCGACCGGCGGCTAAAGCGGCGGCGACAGCTTTTAACGCGACAAAAAGCAGACACGTTCGTTGAATTTTTCACCGAATCTTCGATCCTCGAATCCTTCGAGTAATTCCATATCATTTCTTAAAACGATCGAAAATTCGCGAGAGTTGCACGATTCGGTAGATAAAGATTTTTCCAAGCCGAATCTCGAGACGTTCGGGGTAATCTTGGTTGGTGTTAAGAGGCCAATTAACGCTTGTAATCTCGGAAAGCGAGCTTCTCGACTAATCCTGAGACAAAATCGCTGGTCTTGCCGTTATCTTGGACCATTGCCTTAGTTACTTATCCATTGTCCCGAGTTTTAGGGTAACGGTGGCTAGATCCTCGATCTAAATTGCACCTGTTTGTCACTGTCCACGGGATAAACGTATCGTTCTGATAATAATTAACAGTCGAAAGTCTATCATCTAAATTCTGAATTCAAACAATAGCTCGCGGTATCAAAATTAGAATAATAATTTGTTCCGATTCAGGAATCGATCCGGTATTCCCGCGACTTCATCGGGGATTAGGATGTTTGAAATCCGAACGTTAATGCGCTAATCCACCGTTCGAGCTGAGAAAAAGTATGTCCACGATGAAAAAGCTGAAATTGATCATGTCTGTCCGTGGCGAATGTAGCTGACTAAGCCAGCAGTTATGCCCGGTTCTACACGGTTTACCTAGCACTATCTATTTATCCAACTTGTCGAACACGCCCTGCTTCCTCGACCTCTCTTTCTCTTCCCTCCAATTACGCGTTAAACTATTTCATCTATAAAAGTATAGAATTTAAGATCTATCGAACGATCGATCAGTTTCAACAACTGATAATTAATTCGACGTTAGAATATTTGTTAACTACGAAAATTGTTATCTGCACTAAAGAGACAAATAAGAATCCGTGTAAATTGAATCAAGGAAGCAGTTTCGGCTTCCTCTATGGCCTTCTTGCCAGCGGCCTTCCTCGGTCTCTTGAACAATCCTGAGGGTCTTGTTCGAATGCTTTCGCGCAAGGAATGCGATGCCACGAATAACAGAACGAAATGGACTACGGCGTGTCTTATTAACGAGAGCAACAAACCCGTTAACCGAACCAATTGCCGTTAATTGCGCTCGGATTTTACGGATAAAGGAAACCGATTCCACGGTAGACTCTCGTTACATTGCCCCGGACGATATTGTAGAAGAGAAGAATTTTTCAAGTTTTCAAATTTATTTTGAGTGGAAAAATAAATTCGTCAAATCTCTTGCGTGGGAACACAACGAAATTGTCTACTGTAATTCGTTTCTCTTCAAATTTCTACCGACTTACCTTTAAAGTAAGAAGAGCACCAGGAAATATACCAAGGGCGGCGAGACTCTGACTGTGATCGGTAAGTTCGTGTTCGCCCAGCATCAGGTGTTGGTCGTACGGTCCAGCACCGCAGATCTGCATCATCTAAACGAAGAGTAAAGAAACATTTCAGTAGAGCGAAGACGCGAAAATTAAATCAAGGGAATAAGAAATTCCCGGAAGGCTGAAAATTCCAAGGCAACGTCGCGTTCTTCCTTCACCAGGCATTGAACTCGAAAACGCACCGCGGACGAGGATAAGAAACCGAAGGGAAGGACCTTCGTCTCGAACTCGGAATCGCGGAGCATGCGTACGCTCTGGGTAATTGCTTAATTTGTAGAAGCCGGGCGTCGAGAACGGTTCCTCGTGCACGGGACCAGCTTTCTTCCCCGTTCCCGGTGCAAATGTTCACCGGCCGTTTCTGTTTTACGACCGAGTAACCGACGAGAAACGGCCGCGGAGCAGAAGGAAGATGCGCGCACACGGAACACCCTGCTTAACTCGACACGGAATTAGAATCCGGATTAGAACGAGGAATTTCAAATTTTCTATTTCACAAAATATTCTTGTACCGTGGCACAAGGTTTGATCCAAAGTGGAATGATTTGTTTTTCTTCCTCGTCGTTTGAGGGAGAAAGAAACGATGCAAGAAACGAAGAGAAGACGAAATTGCCGTAGCTTCGCCGCAATAATAGCCAGCCGACAGTAGTAAAACTCTTAAATTTAAACCGGGCGCATCTCGTGCCGTCCTCGAGAACAGTTCCCGGACGTTTTTCCAATAAGGATCGCCAGATCCTTTAACCGAGAAGCTTAAACAGGCGGAGATTAGACGGTTCGAAAGTGTTCCGATTGAAGGGTACCGGTGTTCGTGTAGCCGGCTTTCAGAAAAATCTTAGTTCGTCACTTTTTATCGTTTCGCAAAAATATTGCGAATTTCATGGTCGAATGCGGACAAGTCGCGAGCAAGCAAGCAAATCGGGACAATAGCCTGTGTGCTTCGATTTTACGTAATCGTCGTAACGCCGATCGACGCTTGTAAATATTACTTTCTATCACATTCCGTGTCACCAGCGTCTGTACCTTCCCTTTTTCTAACCCTTCGATTTCTTCCATTGTCGCTTTTCGGTAAAGAAACTTCGTGAAAATTTCATTTATCCGAATCTGAGGTTGTATCGAAACTTCAATTGTATTTTCAATTTTCCTTCCAATCTTTGCACGACTAAATTACACGAAAATTTCTCAACGAAAAAATAAGAGACGAAGGATAAGAAAAGAAAAAAAGAAAAAAAGAAAAGGAGAGAAGAGCAAACGGTATGAAAGAGCCAGAGTAGAGCGAAGTGGAAGTGGAGAAGTCGGAGGCCTGTTATTAGCGCGAGGTTTATGCTCTTTGGAGTTTTTGCCGGTGGCCCCGAAGAGAAAACGAGAAGGGAGAAAAGAGATGGCCAGAACCTCTCGCAATATAAATACGCTTAATAGTTTAAGCACACCGGCAAGCCTCGGTCATATGCTAACCAGCCATAACTACGGCTTTACTACTTTAGTCCATCGAGAACGAACCCTATATCCTCGTGTCCGATTTTAGATGGCCAACCTTTTCTCCGCGCTACCAAAACGACCAACCACCCTCGTAAAACCCTCCTGCGTAATTTCTTTCAATTATCCTCTGATCACTGTCATTGTCAGCAACTACGATCGATCGAGAAACGCGTTAAAAACGAAGGAAAGCAGATAATCCTTCAGTTTATTCTTCGTCCTTTTATTTAAAATGAAAACTCACCATAAGCTTCAGGTCCTTTAGAGTGATATCCGACGATACTTTAAGTTCGTGTGATCCCTTCAGGTTCCTCCTGGTCCTCGACGGCCTCGCGTTTTCGATTTTCGGTCTCTTCGCAGCCATCTGCGTTAACGTAACAGAGTTTAATTAAACATTCAGGAATATTCCTGGCTAATGTTTCTAGCTGTAGAAAAATAATAAAAGAGCAAGCAGGTGAGAACGTAATGACGATTATTAAGAATGAAATGAATGAGATGGGACCAATCTCCTTATCGACCGGCATCAATCTAAACCCGAGGACCGGTTTCAGAAGACCGGATGACTCAACACGTTGGTCCATTAACAAAAATCCTTGTCGTTCGATCTCAGCATCGAGTAATTCATCGAGACGCGATCATAATTCCGTTCAGATTTAATATCTCAATTTGAAATCTCGCTCACCTCGGGTTCGTAATCGGTCTTCGATTCCTCCGTATCCTCCACGCACTTTATGTAAATCGTCGCTCTGTCGTACTTCAAGCTCTCCAGACGCTCTTGCTCCACCCTGGCGAGCATACAGGCTGCGCAGAGATCTGAAAAATAAAATAGGAATTTATGAATTTTCAAAACGAACACCGTCAGTCGCGCAGAAGTAAGTTCACCTTCCTGTCGAAGCAAAATTTCGAGAATTTCCACGGGGAAAAGGGTTGAGCCAATTTCAAGATTCCTTTAACACCCTTCCGAGAATCACCCTTCGACGTTCGTATGGGTGAGATTACATCGACACCCCTTCGAAGTTAGAAAGTCAGAGAGAAACGTTAAGGTCGGTGGGTGGGAGGGTATTTTCACTAGGACGCTGTACTCTCGTTGCTGGCTCTTATCCCATGTATAATAGATTGCTTACGGCCGGCGAGATTAATACAGTAATTAATAATATACGGTGACCAGAGGCGGCGTAAGAAGCGGCCATTGTTGCTGGCCGGACAGCACAAAAACCGCGCCCGGAGAACAGCTCCTATCCGAGCGGCTTTCAAGAGCGTTACGTCATGTTCAGACAGTTTTCCGCTAAAGGGAGCTGTGCTACGGCTAACCCCCATAGGAACGCCGTGACCCCGAATGAATTCGAATGTCCACCACCCCTTCCACCGTCCCCCTTCCGTTCTAAACCGACCGCCCTAATTACCGGAACTACAACTTACTATCGCCTCGTTCCACGCGAACATCCGGCAAGAACACTGTTCCAAACGATTCGCCCGAAGGTGATTTACCTGTTCTCTCACCTGTCTAGCGAACCATCAATTTCACCTTCTACGAGAACAGTGACGGATTTCGATGGTCTGAAAGGGTTGCACGGGAGTTTCAGATTCGAGGTGAGAAATAATTTTTAAATACGGAATTAAATTAAAATTGATGAAAATGTTAAGATTGAGGCGAGAAGTTTTCATTAACTTTCCTCAGATTCTTTTCTCCTCGTCTTGGAATAAAATCATTAAATTTTATTTTACCACGTCGTTTAACCATTTCCTGGAATCACGACGGGATAGTTACACCGAATGAATTCAAATGTCCACCTTTGGACTAGCAATTACAGAACGGTGCACGAGGGCACACGATAGGATCGTTTGCTATCGAGTTTAATCGGAAACACGAGGAAGCTGAGCTAATCAGGGATGCGTAGGGTTGACTGAGAATCAGTACAACCACCCTTGCACCCCCTTGTCGAAGTCTTTTCACCCTCTCGTTACGCCGGTGCAAATCACCCCTTTCGGATCAATCGATGTTCTTTAACTGAAACTCCTCTGAGCCACAAATCAATTCTGATTTTCAAAAAAAAAGAACATCGCAATCATTAAATTCCTAGTTTGAGACTGTTTTTAAACGCATCGAATTCGATAGAACTGAAAGTATAGAACAAGTTTGAAAAGAGGAGATGCATCTTCTCTGAAAGTGGAGGAGATTCGAGCAACGTCTGAAGCAAACAGCAAAGTGGGTTTTATTGGCTAATAATACACAATAGGCTCTACCGGTTCATCGAATAGAGCCGAACAGTAGCTTGGATTTTCTCGTGTATTTCCCTAAAGTGCCATCGGAGGGTAGTCAAACCATAAACGGTCGTCGAAAGGGGACAAAAACTTGGACAAGATCGACTGGAGAAGTTTCCTTGCCTCGCTGAGCTCTGATTCCTTCGGATTTTATCGCGTGCATGGAAACGGCCCGTACCGAAATCCCCGATGGGACAACGAATCGAACTTTTCTTCCACTTCCAGACACCATTCTTCCACCGTAATTTCGAACGTCTCTACTCGCTGTAATATTCCTTCTTCCCGCTAATATCACACCTTTCCGTTTTCAAAAAAGAATCACGCGCGACTTAGGTGTCGGAAAAATCAGAAAGTTCAGCCTTGCCACGAAAAATTCCTTGGGTCTTCGATCAAAATCGAAACCACGTTAAGCGAAGGACAGGCGGCGCGATATTATATTAACAGGTCTGGCCGACTTTCATTCATAACTTCGAATTCGTCCCTGAATGAAAGATTGATGCCTCTCAGCCCCTCGACTGTGAACAGCTACCCTCCGGTTCAGGATCGCGGATAAGAAGTAAATAATGATTTTTTATATTCCAAATAATTAATTGCCATTTCGAGATAGAAGAGAAATTCTGAAAATTAGATCGCTCTCAAGGTCTTTGGATTCGATATTCAACGGATACCACCGCAGAATAAATGAGAGTATTTAACCACGGACGATTAAAAGTGGTCATCAGTTGGCGGGGTAGAAAATAATGTCGTAAATTAAAGTGGAAGTGGAGTAGAAAAGTCGTGAGCAGGTCAAGTTTCGTAGGGTCGAATTAGCGACATCCCGTCGGGTTTCTGGTCCAACCTTCATCTTGGTCCTTCTCTTATCCTACAGGATATCCCCCACACTTGTCTCCGCGCAGCGGGGGGTTCTTTTCCAACAGGATTAAATGGAGCGCCTAGATGACCGATGCTCGTCCTCCGCTCTCCTCTCGTTTGCCAGAAGAGAAACTCGAGGGGTGGTGGTGGAAAACAAGATAAAACGAGGATAAAGCTCACTTAGAGCCTTTCTCCCTTTACTACCGACAACAGTGTCACCGACGTGGGTGACAGCGAAACGATCCTTCGTTAATCCACAGAAGCCTTAATCGTTCAGATAGCTGGCCGTGGAAATCGTTGTCCTGCTTTTGTCTTTTTCACTTCTCTCGTGGGAGATGCTGGCAGAATGAAAGATTTTTCACCTTCCCTCTTATATGACAGATGTTTCGTTTGTTAAACGAAAAAAAATATTCACATTTATTTCTTTTCTCCTTTACAATAGATCTGATACGATTTCAAGATTTATCACACGAAACGTAAAGATTCTATCTGTAAAATTTCTTTCTTTTTTTCGTTCCTCGCTAAGTCCGAAGGTGTAACGATTTCAACGCAACAATCGGTTAAACAAACTCGAAACCACGACTGACGTTTAATTAACTGGCCGATCGGGGATCCATTAGAGGGAGGTTACCTTTCGATTTCCACGGAACACGCGGTCCCGGTTGCGGATCTGGAAAGCCGCGCGTAATGCCCGCTTTTAAGCCCTGATTACACTCGCAACGAGCTCCTCTCTTCTAAGAGGATTATATTTCGACTTTGTTGTGGCGCTCGAAGACGTTCGTTAGCGAAATCGTTACGGCGACGATCTTCTTCTTCGGCGGGCATCGTTAGAGCCGTCTAAAACGCGAAACCGCGCTCCTTGAATTCGCTAATTTCCTTCGTCTGCCTCTTGGTACGAGAATCTATTTTTTTCTGTCTGTGAATCTTGGAAAGCAAGCCGAGGCGACGAGAAATCCATTTTCCAAAAGTGACGTTCACCAATCCGAGGGAACAAGTCGTAAAGTCGTGTTCATTGGTCGGCAAATGCATATATTAAGACGTGTCCGGCGCACTTGTCGCAATGGAGGGGAAGGTTAACAAATGTCCCTCGTGAAGCGTTTGACCCCTGGTAAGTTGGAAACAGCCCCTCTTTACCCCTCTGGTTGACTAAACCTCGAGTCTGGAAAGGCGGGCAAGCAAGCAACCCCTCGAGGCTCAGCATTTATGGAAGGACCGGTGCAGCAGAGTCGACCGCATAACCGTAGGAAACTAATCAGCAAATTCGTGTTCTAAATCTAAATCGCCGTCCGAATATTAATTTCGAGATATCTCCGTCTCTGTTACAAAACGACCTCCATTTTCTACGTTCCGACGGAACCACGGGCGACCGCCCATCCTTTCCAATCTCTATCGTTTCTCTAGGTTTTGCGATACACACATAAGCAACGGAGATGTAACTATGAACGACCCGTGTGATTTGTGATACCCACTGTCGTCTAAACGATATTTACGAGTGCCGTTCCGAGGACATCGCGGTTTTATCCTTTCTTTCAACAGTCCGATACTCGTCAGATTAGAGGAAAATGTAGGTAAAAAAAAAACACTTGGAAGATTGACAGAGTACAATTTCCGTGGCTAATTTCCCAAACAAAGATCCATCCGTCCTGCGAGACGCGCGCCGTGTATCATTTGAAAGAGGATTCTCAGTCGAGAGACTCGGAAGCCAGAACAAACAGACAATTTAGCTTCGTTTTAAGGACACACACTGTCCAACCCGTGTGTGCAGGAACAAAAGCGAAGCAAGGGACCTCTAGACGGTTGGTTTAGCAAAAAATCGGGGGTTGCTTTCGGTGACTGATACGGCCCTGACTAACGAGCCTCCGGCCGGACGATCGTTCCACTCTTAAAGCCTCGAAGGGTGCGCTCCTTTCCCTAGTTTCTTTCTTCGTCGTTCGCGAAGGCACATTAGCCACCGTCCAACCTCGTATCAATCACTCGGCACAACCCTGGTTTCGCGTAGCTCGCTCGTTCGTCGGCCTTGGTTGACAGAACCGGAGGTGACGCGATTGAATACCACCCTCCGGGCATACCCGGCCCACCGGCACGATGACGACGCTGCGACTGGAAAAGCGGGGAAGGAAACGTTTCTCGTACGACTGCACCCGGTTAATGGCCGACAGCCAGAAGACGATCGCTGGCTAACGAGCCACCGGTTTCCAGACACTCGGATTTTTTTTCATATTCCAAGTATCGAAAATTCAGTCATAAATTGAGTATGATTAAACGAACAGGTTATCGTTGAAAGTTAAGAGAAAGGATCGATTCGAAGATGTAGATCTACTGGCACGAGTTTGAACCCTAAACGACATCTCCATCTGGGCGATCCACGATCCGGCCGCTGGATATCCCGAGACGGAGACGCCGCGCCGGTCTTTGCAATTCAAATCACCTGGACAACGATCCTCGACGAGGCAGAGCCTTGACAAATGTCGCGATGGAAAAAAAGGAAAGCAACGGTCAGCCGCGATCGAGAGACGGACAAGACAATGGGATGTTTAGAGGAACTCGGGATCTTTCGTAACGCGAGACACGCCGGTACATTGAACGCAACGATGGAGAAGCTGCTGGAACATCGGTCCGCAAGATCCCCCTGGTGCTACCTTCAGGACCCAATTTGCCTGCCAACACGACGACAAGGATCAGCCGTTCGACAAAGTGGTCTTGCACGTGGACGATTCACCGGCTACGTAAATCTGATCCGACTAGTCGGGATTTCAATTGATGCGCGAAACAAGGGATAGAGAGATTGATGAGAGTTCAATGATCGCTTAACTGTACGTTCCGTAGCTCTCTTCATGGTCCGCCGTCGGAGGAGGGGTTAATAACTTTTCGAAACGCGGAAATTAAATATCGAACAAGTTTTTTCAACGAAAGATCAGTTTATTTTTTCTTTCCGTTTCTTTTCTACCGAGGAACGCGGACCAATCGCGAGGGATCAAGGGCGAGAAACTTTTAGAAGGCCATTTGGACCGGCACCACCTACTCGTCTCCCCGGTGTTCGCTTTTTCTGTCGGTTAATTTTCAGGATACTTCTTAATTATAATGAGACACTTTGGGCTCTGCCAGAGAAGCGAACCGAGGAGAAGCAACGGAACAAACAGGGGTGGGGTATTTATGTAAATCGACGGCTAATGTCTTCTGGCATTATTCCCCGGGTTAGATTCAGACAGGGGGAAGAGACCGGGAAAGTGCACTTCGGAAACGATGTACACTATTCAAGCACACTCTCGTCGAAGAAATATATCCTAAAATTGACTCCCGATTAACAATTTAATCAAGCGCTACGCGTAATCGGTTCGTTCTAAACAGTAAAATAAGGAAAAGCATTCGGTTCTACATCTCAATTGACAGAAGCGAAGGTGCAGTTAAATGGAAGTAACTCGAAATGGATTACTAGTTCCTTGCTCGATTGAGTTACAAATAAATCCTTGGGCGTATTGAGAGATCCAGTTGTATGGTATAAAAAGGGAAAAATCTCAGCGAACCGTGAGATTGTGTAGACCGATAATTAGATCGGGTACACACGTGAAAAAAGAAAAAGACAGACACACGAAGGGGGGGAACGAATGGTAACGATCCGCTTAGGGACGATCGTTTACATAATGACCCCCCTGGAATCGTACGAAAATTAATTGCCGATAAGATCGAACGGTCCCAGGATGGAATAAAGAGAAAGCCGTTAATTGCGCGATCCGTCTTCGATTTGCAGTCCACCAGGAAATTGATACGCCTATCATGGCACATGTGCAACGATAACCGTCACGTTATAATCGTTTCGATTTAACGTCCGCGATTCGTTATACCGTCGCTTTTTATTATCGATTTACGAGCCATGAAAACATGCGATCCCCTTTCGTCGTAACATCACCGATACGTTTAATTGATCGTTAATTATTTATCGTTCGGTATATGATGGTGTTTACTCACTTGGATCTATTTGAAAATCGGAATTGATCCTCCTGATGCTGATTGTATGATCGACGTCGTAAAATTGAGTTAATCTCGACCACTCCTCGGCCGTCACTATGGTGTACCTGTAACAAATTAATATTGAATGTTTATAATACGCGAACGATCATGATTCTTGAGATCGTGACCATTTTCACTGGTCTTCGATCAATTATTTACTTAACAATCGGCCGGTGATAATGAAACCCGCATAGAGACGGGTTGTACGATCGAGCAATGGGCGTGTTCGCAAGGTGGAATTCGCGATTTTCCGACAACGGTGTAGAATCCGTGATGCTTTTTGTCCCGTCTCCCTTAATTATACCGCAAATTAGAAATTTCTTGCCGCGCACCGGCTCCAGCTTTTTGCCATGCAATTGTTCGCCCGATCCTGGCATGGTTCCTGAAGCTCGTGCACCACGCCGGAATCTCGCATCGCTATGATCGATAACGCTTTGAAAAATCCCCGCTGAATACACACGGGCAATCGTGAAATTTCTCACTTAATTATCTTCAAACGAGAACTCGGTTTCCACGCGAAAGAATCGAGAAACATCCTGACACCATTTCAATATGGCAAATTAACAAAAGAAAAAAAATTATATACAAATTATTTATATTGAAAGTTAATTTCTCAACTTGTCTCGAATTCAACTCTCGGTGGAAAGCGAATCCAGTGAAAACGATTCAATTAGAAATTATCAGGTGTAGGATAATAAAAAAAATTAGCGAGAATACGAGACCGACGACGTGGGCAGAAAATTTATGGAGGCGCGTTTCGAAGCACGAGCCCGGTCCGGCCCCGTTGATACGGATACGATGATGACCCGACCGATAATTAGTTGCGCGACATTAATTTCGATTCAGCGCAATATGCCGCGCGGTCTCATTTGAATTTTCACGAGGCAAAAACCAAGCGGACGAGCTTGTCGTCTCTCCTCGTGTATTTGCCTAACGCCCGAATAATGGTGGATGCATCGAGAAGAGTCGGAGAAAAAGGGATGGAATTAGAGAAATCCTCGTCACCGGAGAAGAAAAAAAAAAAGCGTGCTGCCTTCGTGCGAGACACGATATTCCAACCGGAAGCTATTCGATGTAATTACCATTTACAGGCATCTCTTTATTCAGATTTGCGGATTTTCTAAAAAAAATATTAATAAACGAATATATCGTGCAAGGGTAAGTCGAAGGTTTTCACTGAGAAACAATAGAGGGGATGAAAAATTGAAGATCGACGGTAAAAATGATTTTTTAACGGTCTTCGCATAGCTGAGGGTGAACCAGACGAACGACTTAAGCCACGGACTATCTTAGCCAGATAGTGGACAATGGTTTAGCATAATGGTCAGAGGGTGGATTGCCACGTTGGCCCCGAGGGCGTGCTGCTGACATTTTCGTGTATCCATCACGTCACACAAGTTAGAAGGAAAAAGAAAGAAAGCAGTGGCCAAAGAGCACGCGTTTTCTCTTTATAATATACTTTCAGAAAAATCAAAGAACTTGTAAAGTATTTAAGAAAGAAACGCATACACTTGATTCGATTTAATTAATTTTGCTAATGATAATTAAATTTTTATTGATTCGAACGGAAGGGCCATTTCTCTGTAATTTGATTAAATAAAAGTAGAACTTACAAATCACTGGTGATGGTAGGTGAATACAAGAATCCTTTGTGCGGTTCGCAGAGGAGAACAGCATTCCGGATACCAACCGGTGGTGTTTTCGAAAATACTTCGGCATACCTGAAACAAAGGTAAAAAATATATTTTTTAAGATTATTTTTCATGTAATACTGTCAGCTAGTTAATCGTTTCAGATAATGCAACCTCGTCCGTGACACGTCTTTCAGGTCGCGGACCAGAAAGAAGGCGAGGAGGAGAACGCTTCCTTCGGGACATTCCAGGGGTGTGGGGGTGGAGATGTGTCGGGGGATTGGGGTTGTGCATCATTTTTCAAATACCACGAGGGGGCGGACGGTTTTTGCCGTCTCCCTACCCGTCCACCATCCAGATAATGCTCTTAAAGACAGATATCTCTCGCGAAACGAGCCAGGTACCCGATCGCACGGAAACTCGAATGGATAATCTACTACGAATTTTCCAAATACTATCCGAAAATTTTTACGATTAAAAATCGAATAATCCGCGATATTTATGATAATTTTTCAACTCCTAAAAATGAAACAGAAGCGTCAGATGTATGAAAAAAAGGGAAGAACGAAGCAGACCGCGTTCGCAAACCGCGAGGACACCGAGGAAGAGCAAATATCCGCGATGGAGAATTTAAAAAAATGTCTCCCAACCGGGGATACCCTCGAGCAGGTTTTCCAGAAGCGAATATGCGTATTAATTATGAGCCTTGTTCAAACAGTCGAACAGAGCGAGGCGGGGAGGGATGAGAGGAGAAAATTGGTCACCCTTATTACAGTCGAACCAGAGAGGACGTACATTCTCTCTCTCTGTTCCATACATTCTCTTTCCATCTCCTCTGTTTTCCTTCTTTTTTTTTTTTTTTCATTCCTCATTCGAGGCTTTTGTTTAACTTCTGTCGCGGAATTTTTCCGGCCCGCGGCGGATTATTGCTCCCAGGAGATAGGAGGAGGAAAACAGGAGTCGAGAACCGCTATGCAAGGGGGTAGTTACGAGAAAGGGTCACTCGTGACGTCCGAGGAAATCGTTTGGAAATAACTCGATAATTCGCTTCGGAACCACGATTACCTTTACCCTGTCTACTTCGGAACGATCGAAATTCAGCTTTTTCTTTTTCATTTCGGGAAAAATGTAATCATCATCAAAGGAAAAGCGATTTACCATGCCGTAACGGGCGAGGGTTAATACAACTGGGTGCAAGGTGTATTGAAATCGTTCTGTGTCGTTGCACAATGTCGAAAGAACATCATCCAAGATGTTGTTTTCTTCTTGAAGACACGCAACTATGAGGTATCCGCTTGTTGATTAAAGTCATCCAGCGTTGTCTCCAGGTTCGTTCGTGCATAGAGCAGGATATTACGCAGCGGTACTGAATAATGATATCTCGACCACAGTGATCATACAAACCGCAATCATTACAAGGATATCCGATACGTATCGACATCTCGTCTGGTATGCGAATCACCCGGTACTCGTTTTATTCTTTGAATATCAGCTTAATTGAAGCAGTCGATATACTCTTTTTATATCGGTCACTTCGATCGCAGCTCATTACCAAGTATCATTTTCTGGAGTATTATATTGGAAATTCAAATTCTGTGATATCAATCGTGTCGAAGAGCGAGAAATAAAGGAGGTGGAACGGGAATGTAGTTTCTTCGGAGAAAGGCAATCTTTTCATTAGCGACGTCAAAAATGACACGTTTCGAAGAAGAATCGCCTCGAAGGGGACAACGATACCGTTCCATCCCTTTGAACGTGGGCGGTGGTTCGATATTAGCTAGAGCAAACCGCTTTCGACGAGGACGACACGGTTATTCGAGCGAAACAGGGGTGAATCCTCTTCGTTTCACTCGCGGATACACCGATAACCTCCCTATCTTTTCTTCCTACGCTCCATTTTTATTCAGCCAATTGTCCACGTGCCAAAAACTCTCTTGTTAAACTAACTGACATCTCGTCGAACCAAAAAGTTGAATTGAAAAAAAAAAGAAGAACGCTTTGAATGCACGATCCAAAGCAAGACGTTCAATTATCGAATCCTCTCGCCAGCTCGTTCGAGCTTAAAAGAAACTTCTACAAATTAATTCAGTCGACTTTCGTCAAATCGTCGAGGCCCGATTGCAAGAAATTGATTCTAATTTCCGAAGAATCTTCTTTGCTTATCCCACGTCGAACTTTCTCAGCTGACCAGACGCTTCTTTCGCGATCATCTCGCGTTCTCAGCTTCCTTTTTCCTTCTCGGTTTCGTTGCTTTCGAATCGATCCCTCTCCCCTTCGTTCGCGAGTCCTTCTTTCTATCCTGTCCATTGATTGGGCGGCCGTATACACCGATTTCTTGCCGGATCTCCTTTTCAGCAGAAATAAATCTTCTGTTTTCGCGTATAAGCGGCCTTTTAATATCACCGGGCTTGATTTACCGCCGCGAGACCGAGCGTGCCTCGTGTACGCGTGTAAGAGAGGCCAAGAGTAGGCAACATCCTTCTCTTACGACCGTGCTTACCAGCTGACATTTGTCTTCCGGCCAAGGAAGAAGGGAACACACGACTGTCCCCAGGTTTTCCCTGATTTACCGCTCCTACCGATGCTATTTGACTAAACGTCCCCCGTTCGCGTTGCATCCGTGATTCCGATTTCCTCGAACGATTCAAGAGATTCTTTTTTTTTTATCCAAAAAGCATAAAACTTCAGCTTCTCTAACCATCCATAAACAAACTTCTCCGCAAAAACCCTTTTCCTTCGATTGAAAAAACATAAGGGAAGATGAAAAAAAAAAAAAAAACACCAACGTCCTCTGTTCTTTGAAACCACCAGCACGCAATGGCGCTGTAATAACGCGATAATAATTTATAACATAACAATCGAGCAACCAGGAAAGATGCTTGTACGTGGTGCAAGACGCATCCTATCGCTCGGTTATGCAGCTCGTCCAGGAGCTCGGGTGCATCGAAGCGTTGCGATCATTACGAAGAGGGGGCCCACGAAGATGTACGTGTTCGTGGTAAAAGGTCCAGCGGTGTCCAGGGCCGATGAAAAAGGAAGGCGAAAAGCCCGAGGGTGGCAGAGCAGGGGGAAGTTAAGACGAAGAAGAAGAAAAACACAATGTTGCGGAGCACGGTATACGCGGGACATTGAAGGAAATAAGAAGAGGAGAGAAGACAACGGAGCCGCACGAGATGATGATGCGTATAGCCTCGGTGTTCTCGAATGGACCGAGCAGTTCCATCAACGAGAGCGAATTTAAAGCGATCAATGTTCTCCGCTACCTTCGTAAATGGAGGTGTAAGGATAAACTGTAAATCATCCGGCTCGTTATCCCAGCCGACGCGATCACGCTTTGCTTTCTATTATTTCCTTCGGCCTTTAACGTCATCCGGATCGCGACACCTTCGCGTATTCTGTACGACGGAGGCTTTGAATTTTTCCGATTGAAGTAGCTTTGGAAAATCCGCAGAAATTTCGAACGGCGGACCATGGAGAGAGCCTCAGTTTTGCTGCGAAGTTGTTTAGATCAATCATTCGTACATTCCACGTCGAATCGCGCACGTACACCAATGGTCCTTCGATTCAGCTCTGCTTTTCAGCTTCGTTGGTTTCACTGATCCCGTCAAGGCGAAGCCGTTTAACGAAGGTCGCGAGCGTTGCCTCGAGATCACTTCTATCTCGAGGTCTCGGCGAAAGGTTGCGTTCGCTCTATTTGAATGCTTTTTGCGTCTAACTCGTGATTAATTGATCACGATCGAACGTGACTCAATCAAGTGAACGCGAACGAGATTTCCTCGCCGGTCGGTCTATCGCTCGCGTTCGCCTCGGACAGAGTCGAAAATCTCGAAATGGAATTCGTGGATCTTTCGAGCGAAGAGAAGGAGGATTCTCTCGCCAATAACTCGAGGAATGTGGGTTGACTGCAACTCGACCGATTATTGCTTACTTGTACCGTTAACGAAGCCTCGTTACACGCGAACTTTGTAAATACCTGTTGGCAGGAAGAGGCGAAGATCACCTTTTTTCCAACGACAAATGCCCCACCAACTTTCTTGGAATGTCTGTACGCTGAATAATTGCGCCACAGTTAACGTGACTCCGAGTGGTAATTAAATTTTCCAACGAATTCCTATTGTCTTTTGTCGACCATCCACGATCGTCGTTATTAAACAGTGCTTCTTCAGGAATTTATCATCGGATGGCATTCGAGAGTAAAGAATGGAAATCTTATCTCGAATCAACTGCAACGAACGATTGAAAAACGCAAACCGCACCAGGGAAACGTGCTTTATTTCGTAATTTTCTGAAGGGTAAGCATAGGTGAATTGAGAGAAGAAAGACGAGGAGGACGTTGAAATGGTTGTCAGCGAACGGATGCCGGTGGGATACGCGCTAGAGTAACGAAAGCTAATTATGCGTTTCAGTCGAAAAATACGGAGGATAGAAGAAGATAGCGGGGAGAGAATCGAAGCAAAAACCGTCGATAATCGACATCCTGCCGCAGTCCGTCGGTCAACTACGATACTTGGCCGGCGTAAATTTAGTCCCCGGCCCTCTTTTCTCTCGGTCCCGCAGAGAACGATATCTCGCGCGACCAACAAGTCCCCCTGAGCAAACAAGAAGATCGGCCGCAGCCTTTTGCCTGCGGGTAAAAACCGATTCCGTGGACGATCACGGTATGCAGCCACCCTTGGACCGCGATCCTGGAAGCGGAAAGCCGTGGCTCGCATCGAAATCGAGCCGATATCTTCGAACCAACAACACCTACGTACCTTCCACTCTGCGATCCTCTGTAATTTCACGGATTTTTCAAATTAGACAGAGAGGTGGTTAAATTATTTTAAGAAGAACCGCGCATTTTTTAATTTTAAGACGACGGACCATGGAGAGAGCCACGATTTTGCTACGAAGCTAGGCATCATTGATGAATGATAAATTATTTTATTTTAATTACGTTAAAAATTATTTGAACTCCTATTCCCATTATCTCGAAGAAACAATCGGTTGAGAAAAAAAAATGGCGAGACGAGGAACGTGAGGAAAGGTAGGAAAATATCGATGCAGCCGAGCTGTTTCACGAAACGAGGCTGCGGCGAGAGGCCGACAGTACTGGCGAATCGTTGCACCGGCTGCCGAGAGTTTTTGCTCGATTTCTCAAAACCGATCGAGCGTTCCCGATCATGGGAGCAACACGCGTAGCTTGCACGCCAGGCGTGACCATCGGCTACCGCGATACACCACGAAAAACCTTCACCGCCCGCCATGCTCAGTCGCTCACGTCTATTTACATTGGCACCGTTGCGGAGAACCATCGACCCTGCTCGAACGTGCCTTCCATCCACGACAATGAAAATCTTCGATTAGTCCCGATCGAAACGACAAACGACACGAATCCCTAGCTTTACGCAAATGGTGAACAAATAGATAATTAAAAATCATAATTATTCTAAAACTTCTAATTTTCATGTAACGAGAAGCTGAGGAAAATTTCCATTGAAATTCTTCGGGGAAGCAGAGAAACGAGAGGAGACATTTTATCTTTCTCCTCATTAAACCCTGCCAGTAGCAAACCTGGGAAAGCTAATGAACACGAGACGAGACCTTTCTCTCGCCACGTTTCAATTCTTCCCATCCGTTTTCCTGAAATTTTCCAAAGAATATACACGTAGATATATATATACGTGTATGAGAAGGAAGAAGGAAAGAGGACGCGAAGCAAAGCGGAAAACGCAAGAAGAAGAAGAGGAGGAGGCAGGCGTTCAGTTCGCTTTGCCCGAGCACTGATGATAGTTTTTGCTCGGCAAGATTTTTTGCCTCCACCCCCGTAGCCACCCCCCAAGGGTGGATGATATATGACCGCCCCCGAGACACTGGCCACCCCCCGGCGGGAAAAGCTGAAGGAGAAAAAGAGACAGAGCCAGGGAGATACATCCTGATTCCGGAAGAATTCCTTATGTACGTGCGCGTGCATTTGTGTTTCAAACGACATGGCCGCTCGATCGTTAGCGAATTCTCCTGAATTCTTCTAATCGTTCGATTCGATTTCTACGTTTCAAGGAAATTTCGATTCTTTATGGTAGCCCGTTGATATTTCGCTAATTCGCGAGAGATTTACCCCCGGAGAACGGTCACCCCTCGTCGAAGAAATTTAACGGGGTGTCTCCGAGGCTCGTTTCCGCCGATGAAATATCGACGTTCCCGTTCGAAATTCGTTTATATCCTTCCATAAGCTGCCTCGTTTCATATTGGCTAAGGGTGCTGCTACTATCGAGGTAATTGACATCCTCAATTTTATGGAAAAATACAAGCAAAGTTCAATGTCAATCAATATTAAACACCGACTAATTTTTCGCATCTTCCTACCACCCCCGCAATTCACAGCAGATAAATTAGACAGAAAACAGGAAAAAGACAGAGAGGAGAGTCGAGTGGTTCGAAGGAGCAGGGGTTTGCTTCGACTGTACGAGTTCTTGCACAGGCCTCTTGCAATGAATCAACTTATTTAAGGGTAGTTGGATTTCGCGAGTCGATGCACGACTACCCCACCGATCCCCTGTGTCCCCCTCCTACCTCCGACACAGCACGCCTCGTAGAATGATTTATAGTTTTCCTTCCGTGGTCCACCCATCCACCTCTACCACCCTCTAGTCGCGTGCAAACGGCACCCCTCTGCCAAATGTACGCAAAATAGTCGGAATTTGTTCGCCACCACCCTCGGAATCAAGTGAAATTCTACAGAGACCAGTATGAACTGCTAGTCTCCATTAAGATACTTTCAAATGAACATTCGTACAATTATATTCAAATCTTTTAGACAACACAAAGTGGAGGTGGGGAGAAAAAAATATAGCGAATGATTGATGGAAGCATAGTTGCACAGTTGGCACCGTTGTTCGATCGGTTTTGCATTCATGGGCGTGGAAATTTCACGGCTTTTTTATTCACCTGCCACGTATTTGCAGACCTGTCACGGAGGAGTTTAGAAAACGAAGTGAATCTTTATGGCTTCGGTCACGAAACCCCTTTTCACCTTCTACGAATTTTAACGCTTCTGTTTATCACTCCGAACGCCATCCAGAATTTTTTTCAATTAATAAAAACATACGACAGATTCGCTATAAAGTTGAAAGGATGAAGAAACAACGTGTCGATATTCTGTATCGAATAAAACGAAGAGGGGTGGGAGTTGCGGTGAGAATAATTAGTCATTTATGAGGCCGTAAGTGGGGCCACAAATCGGTCCCTCTCAAAGGGACAACGACGCAAAGGGACGACGGTCGGCGTTATCTCAAAATTATTAATCATATCGTAACGCGTCGCACCTCGATGGGGAAAGAGAGGCGAGCATGGAAAGGGAGAAAGAGGCAACGGCTCCATAGACTTATCTGACACCTTAATCAATTCCAAGTTATTAATTACGGAGCCAGCCCTTCGCGCTAGCTCTCCGCTCCTTCATCAACCACGCGGCACACGTTTCAGAAAGCCACCGAGAGCATTGTCTGCGGCTTACAATGCAATGTCAACAAGATCGGAGCCACGCTCTCTCGGCCAACAGGCTCATTAATAATTATTAAACTCCGAATGCTTACGCGAGTGGAGGTTTTCAGCCGATATACAAATCTTTCGGATTTCAAACAGTTAAGATCTCATTTGGGACACTCTCTCCATGGTCCGCCATCCGAAAGATACAAAAATCATCGTTTCTAAAATGCATTGCAACGCGAAGAAGCTTCCTCCTGACGAGGAAAAGCATTCCCAACGTGTCCAAGAGAGGAATAAAAAAAAAACGTCGCTTCTTTCGATAGAAGTTGAGCGATCGTCTATGCAAATACCTAATCCTTTCGCAGATCCATCCAGGTGACGTTGACGGATTGGTGCAGGACTTTGTTCGCAGGCAGCTCGAACAGATTGCAATCCGCGACACCATTTGTTTCCTCCCCTTGAAGGCGCGAAAACGTTTCTGACTGTGAGTCGAGACCGATTAACGACTCCTCTGCTAATTGCTAATAAAGAGACCGAAAACTGGATCACGATCTCTTTACGCGAAAATAAGAAAATTATTTTTTCATTGGGAAACGACCATCGCAGTGAAATTATTTTACCCCTCCTGATTCTCTATCTATCTCGAAGAAAGAATTTCAAATTATTCTATAAATTTGCCAGAACGAAAAGGATGAATGAAACCCGATAATTGCTGCGGCGAGAAAAAAAAGGGGTCGGAAAAATTAATCACCGCGAGACACGAGCAAAGACAATGCCACTTGCTCGGAAAAATATTTCCCACCTTTCCCTACCTCGGTCAAGGGTGATGTTTCCACAATGAAACGTGGACAAACATTTCACGAATCCTGAATATTTTCAAAATATATGTACCTTGGAAAAATGAAAAAAAAAAACGGTCGATGGGATATGTTAACTAAGAAGGGCAGAATTGTCCAAAGCCTAAAGACCACTTGTTTCAGGTTTTCACACCCCTTTGGTAGAGGGCGAAATCAAGCGTGACATGACACACGCTGTAATCCGCGCAAAGGGTTGATCCTAGTTTAGCCGGCTGTCCGTAAACCGTGGAACCCGCTCGACTTAAGCCCCGGCAAATTTGAATCCGTCAATCTTGAGCATCCAGGAGGAAGCATATAATCAGCCCGCGTATCTGTCCGGGTATTAAAAGCCTTTTTTTTTTTTTGCACCGTTGTTGGAAAGATTTAACTTCAATTCCGGGGTAGGTTTAATTTAACTGAACACGGGAAAACAGGTGGCGTGTGGTTTAGTTTCTTGGAAAAATCATTTCAATTTGTTTCGAAGTCGCATTGCTCCAGATACATAGGAACACCCGTGAAGAAAAGGCGATAAATCATTGAAGGCAGAGTAAAAGTCCTCGATCTTCGTTCGAACGGGCAATTAGGAGAACGAAGACGCGAAGTCCGGCTCGGAAAACGCGGTTACAGAATGATGAAGGAAAACGGGGTCGAAGAGGGATAGGAGAAGACGAAATTGCGGCGCGACCGATGAGCCTCGAATAAGGCGAAACGGTATTAAGACGGCGGGGATGCTTTCCTCGAGGCTGATGTATCATTTGCCGGCGGGTCGTTAAGCGGTTTCAATTAGTTTTCCACGCTGCTCCTGGCCCACCATCCACGTGAGGATGGGGCAGGCTAGCGCAGCCCTTAATCGCGCAGTCCAGTTTTTTCTCATAATTAGGAAAAGCTCGTTAATGCGCCCCTAACGTCTCTCCCTCGTCTCTCCTACTCTTTTCCGATTTCTCCTACACTTTACTCGCTTACTTTTCTACCCTCGCTAATAATCTAAGATTTGGATATTTTTTTCAACTTAACAACGAATAAGTTTCTGTCTTTTAAAATAGAACAATAACCACTAATATATTATTAAATCATTTGAGGTGTTAATTTAAAAAAAAAAATAAGCAATGTATCAATAAAGTCACAATTAGAGCCATCTATTGTAACTATGTAGAATTATGCAAAAAATAATAAATCTTCATAGATCGATACGGTATGAATTTTTCAAATATTGTTTGTGAATTTGACTTACCGAACGAAGGAACGCCAGCTGTCCAAGAAACTTTTTTCCACGATGTAAAATACTTTTTCAGGGTCTTTGCATTTCAATATCTCGCTCCTGTTTCTACCATGATACAACTCGTTCAGCTCGTCCTTCTGCTGCTTCGCTTTTATCTTGTCATCTTTCTTTGCCTTCTGCGCGTTCTCCATTTTTTCCTACACCGCAAAATAACGTTAGCCGTATAAAAATTGGATATTTTCTTGTTTAAATTTGTGCTATTAAACATACCTCGCATATCGAACACGACAAAGAACCAATTGGGTATTCCTTGGACTCTGGAAAGTATTTCCTGAGAATCGTCCAAGCTTCACGGGGTACTATCTTTCTCGACGAGTCCGGCGTCTTCAGGGAATTATGTTCGCAAAGTAAATCTTCGTTAAAATAAATAATAACCTCGTTCTCTTCACCCTCCCCTATTTCCTTCAATCTGTCGTTTTCCTTGCTTGTACTTTTACTGACTTGCGGAGGACCATTCCGATCCTGGCACTCTTCGTATTCTATTTCTTGTTCCATACTGTCCATGAATTTCTCCATTGCCAGTCTTCGCCAATTCTTTAACGAATCAGCGCCTACTATGTAGCTATTCTCCATCCTGTAACCACAACGATTATATTTTTTAATTAACACAACATAATTGTTTCAAGTAGAAGCAATGACAAATACTCACGGCTCCTTAAAGTTCCGTACAAGTTCACTGACTTCTTTGTAGTCGCGTTCAAGGGACATTTTAAAACGCAGTAACTTGTATCGACGTCTTACGCATGCTTCGCAAAGAGAAGTTTCATCTAATCGTGGTCCTCCGCGATATTTGTCGTAAAGCAAATTCGCGGCTGTTACTGGCATGCATTTAGCACGGTTCACCTTCAAAGGATCCAATCGAAAATGCGAACACATCAAGGTTGAATTGTCGATCGGTGGTACTCCATCGATGGACGAGTGTCCATTCAGCCACTTCGACAACCAATCGTTTGGGATCCATTGATACTTCTCCCAGGTGACCGCGTTTGCGATAATATTATACAAATCTATGACCAGTTGTCTCTTTATGTTCTGATCTTCAACTTCCTTTTGCTGAATAAAAGAAAACGCTTTTTAGAATAATTTTTAATTAACCCATAGCATTTCAATCTTCATCCGGATACGTACTTTTTCTTGTTGAATAGCTAGAAGACTTAACTCGTATTTCACGTTCTCTTGCCTCACCAAATCACGCAACGTAACACTCACTTCCCAATTATCAAACTCCATCTGGAAAACAGTTTAAAACATGATCGTAGAAGGATAGTGTAAGAATAGGAAAAAGGAGAACTTACCTCTTCGTAGAAATCACGTTCACCGCAACTCATGGCTCTATGGGCAGCACCGTTTAATCGTTTATAGTCTATCCTTCCACCTCTTGTGAACGATTTCTTCGGTTGTACTTCGTGTTGGTTTTCTTTGTTATCAGACTCGTAATGTTTGCCATTTGGTTCATCGAAAGTACAGTCCACTGTCGCTGAAATTATCTGATCCTTCTCGGTGGATGGTTCTGAAGTTTTTTCTTCTAATTTGTTTTCCACGTCGAATTTCAGTACTTGTTCGGAGCCACTCGATTCGGAACTAGAACTTGGTTCATCCTTCCCTTTTCCTTCGCTTATCGTGTCGCTATTACTGTTAGTTTCCGCTTCTAATTTCTTCCTATTTCTTTTAACATTATTTGCTCTCCATTCGGAAGTGACTCTCTTATAAACCAACATGTACGCGGTATTGGAAGAAAGAAAACCCTTCGGTATACGCCCCCGTTTTATAACTTTTGCAGTGTCTGTAACAAATCAGGTTCAATTGCATATATCGAAGAACGTTTAATTAATGCTAATAAATAAAAAGTGATCGTAAAATGTTTACTCACCATTAACACCATCCTCGATTCTCTTATTCTGCATTTTCTCAACTTTATCGTCGCTAAACTGATACCATTCTCCGTTTGAATTACATATATTAGCAATGTAGTGACCCGAATGCGCAGACGGGCCTTTATGACTCAAAACCGCGACTAGGCTGTACAAATGAGTTTGCGGTGGACACCTCACGTATTCAGACATATCGAGATCTTCCGGAAATTGTATAAAAGAGTTCAGCTTTCTTTTCTGTCCAGAATCTCTGCCATGGCAAACAATACATAGTACTGATGTAAAATCTAATAGGTAATATAATAGAATAAAGAGGAAGAAAATAAAGAGTGTACCTATGGAACACAAAACGCATCAACTGTATGTTCAATGTTTCCGGAAGAGATTCCAAACGTATGAATCGACGCGCATCCTTCTTATCGTTGCACGTAACGCAATGATACTGATTCGGTCCGGTCAGTTGCTCCACAGACAAGTATTTCTCTATCGCCTCTTTCAAGGTGGCTGCAAGCTGCAGATCCAATTCGTAGAATGTAGTAGAGGTTGGGTATTCGGTACCGCATTTCGAGCAGCTGCATCAAACACAAACATTGCGGTTATTCAGATAGAATGTATTTCTCTCGGTCAGATCAGTTGATCGCACCAGTCACCGCAGCGAGCAACGTGTCCTACCATGTTCTCATCGTCAAGATCATCAGCATCATCATCGTTTAGGACAATTCTCATTTGTTTTCCACTTCAGAAAACCCACCAATTGATATAGCTGTATTTTCCTTGAGTCAGCCTCTGCAGCATCTGCTTCAGTTCTGCGGTTTGCTGCAATTTCCCTTCGATATGGCAGAGAAGTAGCTTGGAGAATTCCTGTGCATCCTGTTGAGTTCTAGTATCCAATGACAACGCAATAGCTAGATTCATTGGATCGAGTAGACGTCGATTTCCGAATTGCATCATTGCAAATATGTATTGCAACTGTCCAACTGCCGTCACAGGGTGGAATGGTACTCCCGCCTTCTTAGCTTGAGCCAAAGCTTCCGTTTCTTCTAGATCATCTGTGATGCTCCATTTGTATATTATCCTTCTACAAAATTAAATTTCATCCCTTAAGTACGCTTGTGTAAAAATTAAATTGAAAATAAATATTAGTAACAGCATTGAATATATACCTCATATCTTCATTGTGAAACCACATTTGAATTAAACTGTTAACATAACAAGTAGCACCTAGATTCTTTAAGCCAACGTATTGTGTAGGGTCTCGTAATTCAGACAGAGAACTTTCTAAGGACATTACTTCTGCTGGTTGTGATTTTATATATTTCTCTTCCCCCAGTCCAGTTAAACATTGAGGATTATTTGTACAATTGCGTCTGAAGAAGATACATCAATGTTAGAATACCAGAAACTTAATGGAAAATTATGTTTTTGATTAATACAAAACTTACTTGCAATTTTTACATGCTTTTAAACCTATTCTATAAGCAGTCTCCAAGTGTATCCTTTCAATTTGTTCTAACTCCACGCTTTCTATCCAAACCCATGCCAATTTATCTAAATCAGTCTTTTTTGTTGGTGGCATTTCTACCTGAAATGTTTAATAAATACATTGTTAATAATCAAACTCAAGCAAGTACGTGTGCACAATGAAATTAAATAAAATCGTAATATTTTCAATTTGTTAAATTTTTTCTCGGTTATATACGGATATTTTAGACTAGTAGTAATAAATTAAATAAATGAGAAACAATAAAAGTTCCTTATTTCTATTAAAAGCAATATCTTCTGCACAAAATTTTGTTAAAAGTTCCATTAAATATACCAATGATTTTCGTACTAGTGATTGCATGTTTTATTTCGCGCCATGAGAAAGTCACAACTCCAATCGCGAAATAAAAATGAAACGAAAGTGGCACATTGGTCAATCGATTTCAGTACAATTTTATGATCGATAATAACAATATAATGATAAACATAAGTGACAGATTTGATTAACAACAATTATTTGACAGACAAGAAATCTTGGATAATTGAAATATCGAAAGGTTGTATACTTACTCGAAACAATCGTTCGTTTTCGACTGTTGAGGTTATTGAAAACGCCGCAGTAAACGTTGCAACGTTCTGTTCTTTCCCTATACCATTATTCGAAAGTAACGGAACCTTATCACATTTGCGAATTATACTGATTACAGGTATCTATCAATACCTCTCGTAAACAGGTAAAAAAGTACTATCAAAACACTCTAACCGTTTGATGTACACTGATCGCCATATGCAATCGGCTTTAACCCAAGGCGCGCGTCAAATCAATCGCTAAATAAGTCTTTAAACTTATTAAAACTTTTATTCTTTCATATTTTATAATAGCATTTATTAAAACAGAAGGATCATTTTTTCATTGAAAGTATATAATGTACTTTTTAATTGATGTATATCTATTTTAGAAATATATATTTTTTTAATATTATTTAATTTATTATCATGCAAAGGACTCATTAAAGATGAGTAATTTTTCAGGATGTACCATGTTCATATTATCATAATCTGATACATATATATATTTGCAAAACATGTCTGAAGATAAAATAGGTAAGTGCCACTTATAGAATATGAATTGAAAAAGATAATGAATAATGAATAGATACTATAAATTTTATTTATAGTTTGCAGTGATATTCTATTGGAGTTTCTGGAAGTAGCATTCAATCACATCTTATTCTTTAGAAATTTATATCCCAAGGAAATCTTTACGAAGAAGAAAATATATAGTATCACAGTATATGTATCTGAGCATCCAGAACTTAACGAATACTTGAAAAATGTTCTAAATGCAATAAGAGAATTAATAAAAGAAGATGAAAACAGTGTAAAGGCAGTGTACCTTGTTTTTTATAACAAAAATAAGCAACCAATTGAGAAGTTTGTTTTTGATCTTGTTAAACTGCAAGCAAATAGCACAGAGTATGTATTTTAATTAACAGTTTATTAACAGAAAGAGGATACCATAATGTAATTCTATATTTTATATAGGAAAGATCCATATTACTTGAAAACAGAAGAAGCTCTCAGAACAATCTGTTTAAAGCTTTCTATGTGTGAGGCATATTTAAAACCATTACCAGATGATTCAACCTTTTCCATTGAAATAAAAACATATGAAACTGCACATGTAGCTCTAAATGAAAATCCTTATTGCGAAGATTTCCCATGGATTATTGACGAAGACGCTCTTGAAATGACTGAGAAAACTTTACTTCCATTGAAAACTATTAAAACAGATTGTTTAAATTTACAGATGTATGTTTTGGAAAGTCAAAATAGTAAGGTTGAAGGTCAATGAAGTGTTAACGAAGTATCATTTCTAGAAATTGGCGGCTTTTTAAATATTTCTGCCCAAGATTATTAACTTTATTTGTGAGTTTCGAATTTTTTATTATACATTATTCTGATGTTATACATGTTTATCCGCGATCAGAAAGCATGTTAAACAAATAAACAATATGTACTTTTCATTTTATGTTTATTTAAACTTTCTAATGCATACAAATTACGAAATTACATATTTTCTAAATTAATCAACAATTCAACCGTTGCGTCATCTATTTAAAAACGGCTGAAATGACTCGACGACTTACCGATCGATTATCCGAAACGGCGACTGCTTTGCTTTTCATTTTTCATCACCTCGTGTCGCTGTATTCATAAAGCGCGAATATACCCGCAAATTCAAAAACAAACAACGAAATCAAACACTTTCTTCTAAAGTGCTTGACCATGTTAATTAAACAACCGAAGAGTATTTGTAATTGTTATTATTGTATAACGTTCAGTAACTATTTGATAAAAATCAAATTTATATTAAAACACAATAATTACTTCTTAATATTGTATAAAAATTAAATAATGCAAACAAATTTACTGGATATCCATGTATAAAAGTTATAAAAATAATAAATTTCAATAGATATAACAATAATTTGATTAATAAACAATTGTAAAATATAAAATAATAATTAAACAAATATTAACAAATATCAGATAGAAATAGTTAAATGTAACTGGCCGCGGAACGTCATGCTTGATTGGGCGCGCCGGTACCCCATTATCAACAGCTCGACAAAGCGCGACCTGGAGAGGGGTCAAATCTAGTCAGTCTTATCGCGACCGCTGAAGGATACGGATCGATCTGCCAAACATATACCGGTACGGGTTGATACCATAGATATTCGTGCATGGATTTATTAGTGTGTTACTACATGTGTTACCGAGTGTGCCTATGGTGTTTCCTATGGTGTTTCCCATGTATTTTGGAATATTTATACGGATATATTAGTGCGTTTTATGGTGTGGTCACCCATGTGATTTGACATTTTTATACAAGTGCATTAGTGTGTTGTATGGTGTGGTACCCCATGTACCTGCATGTGTTTTACTGTGTTTTATGGTGTAGTTTCCTATGTGCTTCGGCATATTTTTACGGATTTATTTGTGGGTTTTATGGAGTAGTACCCTATGTGTTTTGACATATTTATACAGATTTATTAGTGGGTTTTATGGAGTAGTACCCTATGTGTTTTGGCATATTTATACGGATTTATTAGTGGATTTTATGGAGTGGTACCCTATGTTCTTTACTATAATTTTGCAAATATTTTATGGTGTTTTATGGTTTTGATCTTCATGTGTTTTGGAATGTAGTTACATGTGTTTTACCCTGTTTTATGGTGTAGTTATTCCCATATAGCTTTGCATGCATATATTTGAATTGAAAAATTGAGAGAAAACATATATCGTTCAAGAATCGTGATTTTTATGCTTTCAGATGAGTGCTTTGTACAGTGGAGGTACCGTTACTTTGACGAGCCAACAGACGAGCTATGGGTTAATCTAACATAAAGATGCGGGGCGAGTTCAGTGGTGCAAGTCAACGATCGGTGAGTCGCATGCTTTAAAGTTCCTCCGGTTCCCATCATGTCGTAGGACGAATGGTCCGTAGCGACACGGGAATTGGTTGTAATTTTTATTTTTTGAGCGAGCATAGTGACCCACGAATATCACTGTATCATTTTATACAATGATAATCGTGCAAATTGCTTTTTTGTGTATTTTATGCCTTAGCTCAGGATAGGGTTTTCTTGTACATATTTACATATATAGATTTCGAGTTTAAAAATGTAGAGAAGTCGGATGACCCTCCGACTTCACAATACACTTTCTTTTTTATATGTACAAGAATTTATTTCGCGATCAGCGGATTTCAATATCAAAGTAATAAGCATGAATACTATTAATTATTATAACTACTTACTTTGATAACGAAATCGCTCTTGAAATTGAAACGTTTTTCCGATTTTACTCGTGAAATTGGCATTAGTTTAGTATATGGGCTGGCCCCCAGGGGGGTTGGTATTTGCTCTTCAAGCATTGTATAAAGTTCCCCTTTGGAACTTGAAATTCATTCTGTCACGTTCACGGTTCTCGACCATAAACACTCATCATTCGCACTTCAGCCTCACGAACTCTATCACATAATCATTTATCCACCCTCATAGCCTTGTGTAGTGAAATATTTCCCCGTTAGGATTTTCATGTTTAAGTAGTGTTGCGAAAAATTTTAAACGAGAGAGTAAATATTACCCCGTTAGAATTTTCAAGTTTAAGTAGTGTTGCGAAAAATTTTCAACGCGAGGGTAAATATTACCCTGTTAGAATTTTCAAGTTTAAGTAGTGTTGCGAAAAATTTCCGGCGCGAGAGTAAATATGACTATACACTGACTAGTATTCGGTGGGAATCCTTTTGGTTATTATTTGATAAAATTAGTTACAAGGATTCCGCGGCATAAGACCGTGAACACCACCTCATGGGAGATAAAACCATGCATTACTAGGCCTTTGCAGGCACAGCCATAGAGTACGGAACATTTAAGTATGTTGCATCCCATACGCTAAGCTGTCTTAAAGTCCTTTTGCCTATACTATGGGCGTCCACCACTCGAACACGTTGGATGCAACGTGTTCGATGGGTGGGTAGCGCTCTTAGCGAAGGGGTGCACCCTGCCTGGGCCTAGAGCCTTAAACAGGCGGGGTGGGTGGTATGTAGCGTCGGGCGCAAGTCCAGGGGGCCTAAGAACCTCCGTTGCCAGCTGATATTAGCTGTGGACGAATGTTGAGTCATATTTGCTCTATTTTGCTTTTCAATATTTGCTCTTCAAGCATAATTTAAAGCTCCCCTTTAGTCATGTTGCTAGATCAGGATTTTCTATTTTAATTAGTGTTGCGAAAAATTTCCAGCGCGAGAGTAACAATGACGATGCACTTACTAGTATTCGGTGGGAATCCTTTTGGTTTTTAAACTCAATGTTTTATTTAGTTAATAAAATTAGTTACAAGGATTCCGCGGCATAAGACCGTGAACACCATCTCATGGGAGATAAAACCATGCATTACTAGGCCTTTCAAGGCGCAGTTTAGAATGTGGCGCACATCCATATGTTCCATTTGATAAACTGCAGTCCTTTTGCCTATACTATGGGCGTCCGTCAATCTGACACGTTGGATGCAACGTGTTGGACGGGCGGGTAGCGCTCTTAGCGAAGGGGTGCACCCTGTTCTAGGCGGGGTGGGTGGTATGTAGCGTCGGGCGTAAGTCCAGGGGGCCCGAAAACCTCCGTTGCCAGCTGATATTAGAAGTGCACCGTTTTTGCGTCATAGTTACTCTATTTTGCATTTCAGTATTTGCTCTTCAAGCATTGTATAAAGCTCTTCGTTCGTACTTCAAATTCATTCTGTCACGTTCACGGTTCTCGACCCTAAACACTCATCATTCGCACTTCAGCCTCACGAACTCTATCACATAATCATTTATCCACCCGCATACCCTTGTGTAGTGAAATATTACCCCGTTAGGATTTTTAAGTTTAAGTAGTGTTGCGAAAAATTTTCAACGCGAGAATAAATATTACCCCGTTAGGATTTTCATGTTTAAGTAGTGTTGCGAAAAATTTTAAACAAGAGGGTACATATTACCCCGTTAGAATTTTCAAGTTTAAGTAGTGTTGCGAAAAATTTTAAACAAGAGAGTACATATTACCCCGTTAGAATTTTCAAGTTTAAGTAGTGTTGCGAAAAATTTTCAACGCGAGGGTAAATATTACCCTGTTAGAATTTTCAAGTTTAAGTAGTGTTGCGAAAAATTTCCGGCGCGGGAGTAAATATGACTATACACTGACTCGTATTCGGTGGGAATCCTTTTGGTTATTATTTGATAAAATTAGTTACAAGGATTCCGCGGCATAAGACCGTGAACACCACCTCATGGGAGATAAAACCATGCATTACTAGGCCTTTGCAGGCACAGCCATAGAGTACGGAACATTTAAGTATGTTGCATCCCATACGCTAAGCTGTCTTAAAGTCCTTTTGCCTATACTATGGGCGTCCACCACTCGAACACGTTGGATGCAACGTGTTCGATGGGTGGGTAGCGCTCTTAGCGAAGGGGTGCACCCTGCCTGGGCCTAGAGCCTTAAACAGGCGGGGTGGGTGGTATGTAGCGTCGGGCGTAAGTCCAGGGGGCCTAAGAACCTCCGTTGCCAGCTGATATTAGCAGTGGACGAATGTTTGAGTCATATTTGCTCAATTTTGCTTTTCAATATTTGCTCTTCAAGCATAATTTAAAGCTCCCCTTTAGTCATGTTGCTAGATCAGGATTTTCTATTTTAATTAGTGTTGCGAAAAATTTCCAGCGCGAGAGTAACAATGACGATGCACTTACTAGTATTCGGTGGGAATCCTTTTGGTTTTGAAACTCAATGTTTTATTTAGTTAATAAAATTAGTTACAAGGATTCCGCGGCATAAGACCGTGAACACCATCTCATGGGAGATAAAACCATGCATTACTAGGCCTTTCAAGGCGCAGTTTAGAATGTGGCGCACATCCATATGTTCCATTTGATAAACTGCAGTCCTTTTGCCTATACTATGGGCGTCCGTCAATCTGACACGTTGGATGCAACGTGTTGGACGGGCGGGTAGCGCTCTTAGCGAAGGGGTGCATCCTTTCCTAGGCGGGGTGGGTGGTATGTAGCGTCGGGCGTAAGTCCAGGGGGCCCGAAAACCTCCGTTGCCAGCTGATATTAGAAGTGCACCGTTTTTGCGTCATAGTTGCTCTATTTTGCTTTTCCGTATTTGCTCTTCAAGCATTGTAGAAAGCTCTTCGTTCATACTTCAAATTCATTCTGTCACGTTCACGGTTCTCGACCCTAAACACCCATCATTCACACTCATCATTCATCAGTATAGTGAAATATTAGCTCGTTAGATGTTTATGTACTAGTCATGTTATTAGATCAGGATTTTCTATTTTAATTAGTGTTGCGAAAAATTTCCAACGCGAGAGTAAATATGACAATGCACTGACTAGTATTCGGTGGGAATCCTTTTGGTTTTTAAACTCAATCCAAGGTATTATTTGTTTAATTAAATTAGTTACAAGGATTCCGCGGCATAAGACCGTGAACACCATCTCATGGGAGATAAACCCATGCATTACTAGGCCTTTGCAGGCGCAGCTTTAGAATACGGAACATATGAAAATATGTTACCATATTCTAAACTGTAGTCCTTTTGTCTATACTATGAGCGTCCGTCAATCTGACACCGTTGGATGCAACGTGTTGGACGGGTGGGTAGCGCTCTTAGCGAAGGGGTGCATCCTGTCCTGGCGTTACGACGTCCAGGCGGGGTGGGTGGTATGTAGCGTCTGGCGTAAGTCTAGGGGGCGTGAGACCCTTCGTTGCCAGCTGATATTAGCAGTGCACCATGTTTGCGTCATAGTTGCTCAATGTTACTTTTCTGTATTTGTTCTTAAACCTTTATATTTACAA